CTAGAATAAAGCAAGGGAAAAGGTGGAAATAGAGCAGACTATGGAGAAAAAGTCTGCCAATTGGCAGATTGGGCTAGACTACCAACAAATTGAATTGCCATTTTAATTGAATTGAATTTACTGGGGTCATTTGATAATAAAAATGGGACAGCCAATGTCGTTAATATACGTTTGTGTGATCTCTACGTATGTATGCGTCTTTCTACAGATGGCTGGAAAAGAAAGCCTGTAGTAAATACTAGCTGGATATTTGATTACCGGCAGTAGAGGAGGCAAAAATCAATGTACATTGTTCCATTTCGCCATGCACAATCGCATATTCTAAACATTGCATATCATTATTTTATTGAATGAAACCTAGCGGACTACGATGTTTATTTTTAACCTCTTTATGTTGAGATATTTCCTGGATAGATTAGAACGTATGAACATTTTTATTGATACAGTATAGCTTGTGCAGTTGTAAGCTTGACTAATTTTCATGGAGATATTATGCAATGAATAAGCCAACCTCCTCTAGAAGCCTATAATTATATACAAATTGGTAATGATATCATTTTATTTCATAGCCATTCCTGTAGTAAGAAAGTGGCCGGCCATTGCTATACCGTTGGCTTTGCCTGCAAAATCAATGTCTCTACAGTAATGATAATAACCAATCTGCTGCGGCTGACGTCACTACTTTCATACAGTTCACCATGGCTGTACTACGCCGTGAAGTTAGTATGGGTACCAAACTGCGTTTCCGTCATAGTATAGCGCACCACCCCCCATACTTGCTTTACACACCGAAACGGCCAACCCACCAATGAACTGTGTGTTGACGCATCCTGTACGTTGTACAGTATACTGTACAATGTACGACCACTCGTGCAGTACTGTGACTGTTGGCGAGGGCAATGGACTACGCCAACGCGTTGTACCCTAAGGTCTGCCTACCTGGGCACTGGGCCAGGGACTCGACACGAAGTAAAACCGCCGTACGGAGAAGCCTTGAGTGTCTGAAATCGCATCAATCAATCGGCCCAAGACAAACCACTCAATAACGGTATTAGATTTGCGTTTTGGCCTTACAACACGATGGATTACCTACAAACAACTAAGGTATGTTAGCCAAGAATAAAATCGAGACCACACGATCATGCTATTCCAACTGATTTTCAAATTTCCCTTCATGTCTGGCGTTATACAGTCCATGGGATTGTGAAGAATTGATCAAAATGTTGTCATACGGGTCCAGTTGAGACTAGTTGAGACTAGTTGAGGCTAGTTGAGGCTAGTTGAGACTGGTTGAGGCTAGTTGAGACTGGTTGAGACTAGTTGAGATGGATGTGTTGTCTTCCCTCTAGGTTGTATCTGGCTCTAGTATCTGCCTTTGGATAGATCGTTATACAGTCCATGGGATTGTAAAGAATTGATCGAAATGTTGTCATACGGGTCCAGATAAGGCTGGTTAAGACTAGTTGAGACTGGTTGAAACTAGTTGAGACGGATGTGTTGTCTTCCCTCTAGGTATATCTGCCTTTGGATAGATCGTTATACAGTCCATGGGATTGTAAAGAATTGATCAAAATGTTGTCATACGGGTCCAGTTGAGGCTAGTTGAGACTGGTTGAGACTGGTTGAGACTGGTTGAGACTGGTTGAGACTGGTTGAGACTGGTTGAGACTGGTGGAGACTAGTTGAGACGGATGTGTTGTCTTCCCTTTAGGTATATCTGCCTTTGGATAGATCAGCCAGCGATGATGAGTTCTAGAGGGGAGGGATTATTTTCTTCCTTGATTTAAAATGGCTGTAATCAAGTCAACATTCGACGGCTAAAGTAGTGGTGTAGAAGGATAGCTGTACAACGTATCAGTAAATTAGTGATCGATCAATGATACGGACTACGATCAAGGGGTAGACTACTGATGATAGCATGCCATCACGCCTAACGACGATTAGCGGCTGCTAGCTTCTCTCTTCACTCCTTACATACATTCATCTCGCTTACATAAATCCATATTCTATCCAATGCATATAGATATACACTCATGTAGATTTGCCTTTTAAATCAGACGAAAGTGACAAGCTAAGTAATAATCAATAAAATAGGTTAAATAGGGTCCCGGTTATCGATGAGATAGAATGACAAGCTCTGTTTGCAAGGCACAATGCTTTTACAACAGTCGATATTTCTTTCAAATAATCTATCGTATCAACCTTGATGGTTTACCGTAAGCGGCAAGCTCCAACTTTCATTTTTTGTTTTTGGACATGATGATTGATGACTTGCATACTGTAATTCACTTCAATTAAATCGACTGGCTATGGTTCGTAAGTTGCTAATGCAATAAAATCGTCAAGCTTACAATCTGTTATCAGGTTAGGAAGACTAGCTAAGAGCGACGGCCCGGCCTATAGTGCAGTACTGGCGTGAAAATAGTCACTGATTCAATGATGTGGTGACAGAGAAAGGATTATGTTATCCACAGTACATAATGGATTGAAGATAGATTAATTGACAAGGTTAAAATACGTTTATCCACTACAAACAGAAATCTTTCGGCGTAATTTATCGCTAATGAATGCTCACACACACTGACGACAATACGCTGCAGTATGCCTTTCGTGGCATAGAATTAGTAATACTTTATGGATACTATCACTAGTTGGAACGATTAAAATCTCACGTTATCAGGTTCAAATAGGTACATAGACTATAAATCGTAATCTTACCAAGCAGTTATCACCAAAGAGTATTGACATCCTACGTGATACAATACCAGTGAGTATGCTATGTTGAACATAAAATGAGTCATACTTTACAGAAACTATTACTAGTTTTCTAAAGAATAGCACATTACATTATACAATCATCGATAGTACGATTCTTAGATTCAAAATTATCAAAGAATGGACAGTTAAGATGGTCGATCAATGTGATTTTATCGTGGATGACTCACTGGTAAATGCGTTACGAGATCACTTCATTTTATTGATTGATTACTTCCAGACGCAGCTTAATATTACGTATTGATCGAATATATTTTGACAGACGCATAANATGTAAAAACGATTGGCTAGAAACGTACTATTATTAACCTTTGACGGATTATTTACTTGTACTCATCTATCGTCCTTTATACACTAAGAATTGTGATTTGATTTCAAATTTGTATGTACCA